CTAGGTGGACCGATGACGCATTTCAGGCACGGGCGGTTGACCACCTACATAACCAGTATCTCCGAGATTAACTTGTCTCCCACCTTTGCCTAAATAGAGGAACTCGGACTCGACTTCGCGATCGCTTTGATGATGGCCATCTAGACGCGCGTTAAGCTCGTTTAACCCGCCAGTTGTTTCCACGACACGGCCTTACATCCCAGGTCCCCGCTGCGTGGTATGCTTCGGAGAGTCTGCTCTCCTTCTTGTCCACCTCAACGCAACTAGGAGTTGACTGACATTGGTATGACCTTGCGTTGTCAAAGGCTTAGGTTAGCTCACTGACACGCGCTTAACAGCATGTCAGACTCCACCTCACCTTATTTCCCTCATTTCCCTCATTTCCTTTGGGAGTTCTGGATGTCGCATGTGTACGTCGATGACAACCTTCAATCATACCTGTCTCACTGAGAACAAATATGACCATCTACCTCATGACGCGTTGTGCTTCATCTCATTTCTGGGACAATACCAATATCCGATCCAGTAGCGTATTTTCTGCCCTCTATCAATATCTCTTATCAATCCTTTCGTTAGTCCTCATTGACTCTACGTGATCATGCCCACCATCACTTTCTCGCCCAATGCGGTGTGCGTAGATGACTTCTATCGCCCGCCCACGACCTTCCGGTCTACGGGCAATCTTCGAATACGTATTCCATAAGGCTTCAACTTTGTTGGGCCCAGTCGCTCACTTCTGCCGCACCTCTTTCTCATGGAAACCCATGAATTGGCATAAGAGCGGTAAAGTGTTCTTTGCTATTCCGTTATCCGTTCTCCCGCTCATTATCCTGACACCTAATATCAGGTCCTTTGAGAAAATGCAATCCGTGCACTGCGTTTTTACTCATGATTGGACGGGAAGTTTGTATCTCGTGAGTACTTATGCTGCACTGGATCATTCCCGGTTTTTGACGGTCTCTTTACAGAAATCGCAATCCGTATAACCTAGGCATCCAATGATCCAAAGGACGAAGGTGGGCGTCACGCGGAAACATCCGAGCGCCAGTGGCCCAGAATGATCACCTCCAACCGCACAACTGCAACGGGTTTAATCCAGCCAGCCTCAAACGCCACTGAACCAACATTAAGGTGTAGCAGGCGCAGCGGATGGTCATAGACGAGCTCGTACTATCAAGTGAGTACTACGCCTTTGGTTATTTCAATATGTTGCTAACATATTGCTCAACCAGTCGTCAACCAGTCGTCAACGTAAAGATCTTATGGCGCAAGCCTCTTGGCTCTTTGCTCAATCCTGAGTTGTCGCCGATGCGCTTTCCTGGATCTTTCACTACCGCAACCGCCATCCACAGGACGAACCGGACGAGGGTCACGCGTTGAAGCGACGGAAGTTGTTCGAGTGTCGACTTCGCCAAAGCCTCGTCCGTCGTTGTTGCATCTCCAAGACTTGACAAGCCCACTGATGGAATCGGCGCATGAAAGGGAGGTTAATGACTTAGAGGATATCAAAGGAAAAGCCGGGTACGACTGAACGATTGGACCACTTGAAGGATTTCGTTGGTGGCAAGGATATCATGAGGTTGGCTTATCAGTGAGTTCACCCCGATCCCATCTTCGTGAGTAATTCCAGAGGGCTGATCTATCATTATAGTCTTCTTCGTGTCCAGCGAGGGCGCTCGTCAGCAGGAATATGTCGCTCAGAGTAACAAGTGCTTAAAGTTTATCAGTAAGTGTTTCCTCTTCTCTTCGTCACCTGTTTCCACTCTAACTTCCTGTGTCAGCGGGCTAAGCCAAGTCGACGTCCGCGTGTCTGATCACCGACTCACAGTGCTGGCTACAAGCTTGAGGACGCCAGAATCGTTGAATTTATCTTAACGACTCGCGCATATAACGACTTTCGTAAGTACCGCCATCCCCCATGGCCTCCATCGTGCTCTCTTTCTGCCTACTTACACGACCAATTTCAATAATAGGTCCCGGTGCACTCATAACCTCGTCGCGAACAAGTTCCGACCTAAAGGAATCAGAATACATCGTTGGGTCTATGTACAATGGCGCGTTCGGAAAATCTTGGCTGATAGTTGTCACATAGGATCCCTCCCCTCTCGGACCCAAAGGGCGACGACACATGCCCCTTCATTCGGCTCTTCCCATACAAACTTGGATCTTACGTTTGAGTCCACACTCTCTTGCATAAGTCAACGTGACCACCTCAACCTGGAGGGATTTAGGTTGGCGTTTAGGATTGTTTAGGAGGTGGTGATGCATTGACTCAGGATCATGAGGCGCATAGGGTAAAGGACAGTGCGCCTTTCGTATGAGCGAGTTATAGCTCTTCTCAACAGTCCCTATGAGCCACTCCATCTTACGCCCTCAATCATCGCAACCTTCCCTATGCTGCGATATCTCGTAGGTACCTACCTCTACCCACCCCACCCTCTGCTTCATGACACGAACGTACGTCATATATACACCGCTTCCAGGCACTTTTGGTCAAGCACGCTGTACGGCTGTCAACCTAGTTCTTCACCTGAATCCCGCATTCCTCTTGACAACCACCCCACAACCGTCACATTTGCGTATGAAATGCCTCAAGACAAGTACATAGTGCCTCGTAAATTGTTGTGAAAGTAGGAAGTATATTAGCAATTCATTGTGCCCTTTAATATTCTGGGAAATAACGAGATACAATTGACATTGCGCCAGTTCTCTGGGTATAAGTTGAGTATCAATCGGAAAAGCTCGGGAGTCAACGTGGGGAGTGTTATGATTATACATTATCGCACTAATACAAGTGGCATGTTTAAATGTCCTGGCTTTGACGACGGGTCGCGTGCATATTGATGCCGTTCCGATTCTTCGACTCANACTCGATCTGCTGAACGAGAAGAAGGGTGTCAGTAACCATCGTCGGTCCCGTCTAATCCAAACTTACAAGGGCCCAATCAACGATGGGTACCATCTGCATATGCAACATTGCGGCAGCCCATTACGACG